TGTGTGTGCCCCCGCCCCCCCCCCCCCCCCCCCCCCCCCCATTGTTGAGCCCCTTTTTCCATTCTCAAGCCCCTTAGCTACCGCTGAGGCGAAATAAGCAGCGTGGCGCCACGCAAACGCTTGAGTTTAGTTTATTGCTGTTGGGAGGACTCTCTCCAGCCCCTGCCACGCTGCCTGCCCGCCCGTCTGCTGCAGCTCCGGCAGGGGTGGAGAGGTTGACGGAGCGAGCAGGCCACGAACCTGCTAAAGCAAGGCTGGTGCTTGGTCTTACCCCGGGAGGAATCGCAGCGCTAGCAGCTTGGCAGAGTCTGGCTATAAACAGCTTTGCCGGGTTTTGATTATAACAGGCTATTTGTAAAGCGCACGGGCTACGTAAAAACACGCCTTGGCTAACGGCGCAGCTGCCGAGACCTGCAGCGCGTAGCTTAACGTAAAGGCGGGTGCTGGTCGGCGCCCGCCGCCCAGCATGGCCTCCTCGGCAGCCTCGGCTGCGCTTCGCCAGAGGCCGGTACGTACCTGCCGCGTCTCACAGCCAGATCTCATCGCTGCTCACGCTGGGCACTTTGTAGATGCGCCCAGACAGCGGGAGCTGGACAAAAGCTGCAGGACAAAGACGGCTCGTTGCCCTCTCCCCTTTTAGGGCAGCCACGGAGCCTGGCGTCCCCACACAACAGTTTTTGGGGCTACTCGCCCGCTGGTGCCCCCCTCACCGAGCTTGCTGAGGGCCAGGGAGTTCTCCAGCCCCGGCAAGGCGCTCGCCTCTCCCCTGGCACCGGCTCCCACATCCCTGGGGGAGGCTGCAGGGAAGGCAAGGGGTGAGAGCCGGGACACCCGGCCCTCACCCAGGCAGAGCCTGCGGCCCCGCATGTCAGCTCTGCACCGGCGCCTCGGGGTCCTACCTCCGGCCTCCTGCGCGAGGTCGCCGAGGCGCAGGTCGGGCGGCAGGGACCGGGTCTGGCGGGGCAGATGCGCGCCCCGGGGCTGCGGGTGCTCTGGGCCGCTGCAACGGGAGCACCGGCTGAGCGGGCTGCTCCCTCCCGCTCGCCCCTTACCTGGCACCGGCTTGGCCCGGCGGCACGCCAGGCAGGCGGCGCAGGAGCCCAGGCTGAGCAGGGCGGCCAGGGCCAGGGCTGCTCCGACAGCAACGCCCAGGAGGGGCAGCTCCACGCGGGCATCCAGCAGACCTGCACGGGCAGCACGGCCCCCTCAGCACCCCTCCGCAGGGCTGCTGCTCCGCACCCGCCCCTCCCCGACACCTACCTGGGGGCAGGAGGGAGGTGGTAGCGACGCCCACGCCGTTGGCAGCGCTGACGGAGAAGTTGCCGGCCGCGCTGCTGAGGTGGACGCGGAGCGAGTGGTTGGCCAGCCCCGGGTAGCGCGTGGCACCCAGGAGGAGGAACTCGGAGGCGTTGGCCATCACGTGCCCGTCCCGGTCCACCCAGGTGATTCTGGCGGGGGGGTTGGCTTGCACCAGCACAAAGAGCACCAGGAGGAGCCCAGCGCCCTCGACCTCCTGGTAGCGGGCATCTGCCCGCAGGATCTCTGGCTTATCTGGGCAACAAACAAACACAGGCAGTGAGGAGCAGGAGAACAGGGGCAGCACAGCCCGGAGCAGGATTTGTCTCGCCAGGGGCCGGGAGCACTGGTCGGCCACGTTTGCGCGGGACCGACAAGATGCTGCCCCGTGGACGCGGGTCACGGTCCTGCTCCGGCCGGGCAGCAGCCCCACGCGCCCTCCCCGCACCTCTGGCCCGAGCAGGGCTGGCGCCGCGGACCTTACACTGCACGTCGAGGAGGACGGAGGCGTTGTAGGTCTCCCCAGAGGCCGGGTCCACCAGGGAGCAGTTGAGCTCGCGGTCGGTGCGCCGGGCGGTGAGGGTGAGGGTGCTGGCAGCGCCCGTGGCCGAGCAGTTTGCCTCCTGCTTCCGGCCGTCCAGGTACCACACCAGCGCAGCGCCGGGGGCTGGCCGGGGGGCCCGGCAGGTGAAGGCACGGCTCTCCTCCTCTCGCAGCGTGCACGCTGCCAGCGGCTGCCCGTCGATGGTGGG